CTTATATGGTGCCCACATTTGTTACCAATAAAGCATATTTAAGGACATAATTTCCTGTTTTACTACTGAAATGAATTGCATTGTTGGAATAAGACTCCTTTTTTTTTTTACATGAGGGAGAATAAACAACAAATAATTTAAAAAAAAGGCAAGTACCCTTATGTACCATGGGTATTTTAAATGGAACAGAGCCGAGCATAAAAAATGGTTCCAAATATTTGTGAGTGATTGTGTGATATGTTTTAGTGGTGGAAAGATAGAGCAATAAGCAAAGAGAACAACGGCATAAACCCCCAAGACGTAAGTCCAATAGTAAGCCAAAAATACCACTGAGTAGCTAATATTAAAACAAAAGAAAAAATAATATTTTTCCAATACACACTTTAACCTTTCTGCAGGTGGCAGACAGACTTGCAGGTATAATCTTACCACCCTTGGACGCCATCAGTAAATCTGTAAACATTAAAGAGTTCTAAAGTCACAACATACATTATCCTGTTAAACACATTGTTCAGACGGTAGCCTTAGTTATAGTGGTGACACAAGGAAATGCATGTTCACAGGGCTGAGTGAAATTCTGTCACTGCATTGAGGAAGTACATCCTATGAGCATCTTCAATAAGTATGTTTACGATCCTCTGCATTGATATGGTTATTAGGAGTGAGATTGAACTACTGGAAATTTAATATTGAAATACATATTTAGTTTTAGTTTTTGACCACAGATATACTTTAGATTACTGTTTATGTCAATGGAAAGGCGAGGCATAAGCAGATCATTGGTATTGCTAGATGGTGCTGATAACCTTTATATAAAGCAGAAACAGTAGTCATAATAACTTTTCTAGCCTAAATGACTGATCTGATTTGGCCAACTACTGCCGAATGTCTATGTATAACTTTTGTGCAACAAGCTTGCTAGTCACTGGTCATGTTTTAAGTCAGTATAGTTCCTCTGTTATAGTGATGTTTCTTTGTCATACTAGATCTATACCTATTGCTGAATTTGAACAATAACAATTACGGTAAGATATGTAATGCATGGAAATATGCATGGAACACCAAGTACGGCCTTTTAAATTATGCGCTAACCAATTTGCACCATCATTTGAGAATGGGCTTGTGTAGACCTGTGTTTACCTGCGTTTTACCTGCATTTGAAACCCTTTATCTTTCTTCTGCATCTACCTGAACCTTGACAATTTCCTCTACAGGGCACACTTGTGCTGGAACTTACAGATTGTATAGCTTGTCAGTACTGGCCCTCTTTATCATAATCTGGGGGTATTAATGCAAAAAAAAAAAAAAACGGTTTGAGAAGTGATCTCTAGATTGTACTTTAAATTATATGCAAATCCAAACACTAAAATCTTATATTAACTCTTGATTGTAAATGTATTTTTTACTTTTTTTCAATGAATGATTAAAGAAGAACTCCAGGAAAAAATGTTTTATTAACCCTTGCAGTGGGGCTACTCCTGCACTGCAAGGATTAAGTGCTCGTTTGTGTCAAAGTGTTAAAAAAAGTTATACTCACCAGACCATCCGAGCCGGCTTCCTGCTTCTGTGATCACTGAAGTGTGTCTCCTCCTCCGCTGCACAGATGGACTGCTCCTCTGAGTCCTCACATCTATACACAGTCTACGCACAGTCTATACAGCATGATGACACCAGGATCTTTAGACCTCTGCAACAAGGGGGAGAGACGTTCTACACACCAATCTTAGCACAAGACGGCTTGGATGGTCTTGTGAAAATAACTTTTTTTTTTTTTTAGCCCGAGACACAAAGGGGCACTTTAGCCTTCCACTGGAGTTCACCTTTCAAATAATACTTGGTAATCCTAACATGTTATAGGGTGATGACGGTGTCCCTGTTTCCCATTTGTGCTCCTGCATTGTCACCCTGTTTCAACACATTACACAGGCATGTTGTTCCCATCGGGAGACCCATCCTGAGAAATGTTATGCAGCCATTGCTGGTGTAAATACAGACAAAAAGTGGCTGCAAGGAGGATGCAGGACGGCAGGAGCATGGAGATGCAACAAAGGATGAAAAAAAGTGGAAAACAATACTTTATTTTTTAAAGTATCAATTGTTTAGGATACACAGAGGTTTAGCAAACTAATGGTCTTTCAGTTATGGTTTACATCTCTGTCTACTTACGTGGTGGGTTCTTTTCATATCAATAGAAAGCAAATATTCATGTATTTTTTAGGTAAGGACCAGGCGTGCCCCATTCACCTAAGGCTTAGACCCTTTCTACAAACTCAAAGTTCCTGAAGAGAAATGTTTCTTTTGTTCTCCACATGTGATTTATTTTAGTTGTTGCTAGAAAACTTGGAAAACAAAGAAAACTGCAGAAATGCTACATAACAATGGGGCTTTCTATTATAAGACATCAACGTTGAATTTAGTAGATCCACATACAGACAACTAACACACAAAGCATAAAACAGAGACTGACTGCAAAACCGCAAACATTCATAGCTGTGCATGTTCTTTAAGGACGTGGATGGGAGACATACCATACAATTACAATGTTCCCTGTAAAAAGTAAAGACTGTTGTCACAGTACAAAAAAACATCTTTTATGACCTAATTACACTGTGGAAGATAATTTAGAAGATGTGATGCTTTACATTTCACATATTTATATTTTTAAATTAAGACTGTAAATGCTAGACTGAAGAGGGCCCAAATGGAGAAAAATGTTTAGCATGCCTGTTAAAGTCCAAGCACCCAATGCACCATCCTAGAGATCACCCTCTACTTTCCCTCCATTAATGCAGAATAATCTTGTTCACGTGATTCATGCAACTGAAAGAGTCGAAAGCTAAAGATAAATATGTATTTCTATATCGAATTTCCATGTTCCATCCCACTCCTAATAACCATATCCATCTAGAAGATTGTAAACTTAAAGGAGAACTATGGGGTTAAGGCTTTTCCCCATAGTTCTCCTTAGGGTAACGGGAGGACACAAACTAGCGTCCTCCCGTCACCCTAAGCTCAGTATACCGCTACTGCTTGCTGTATACTAAGACGCCGCAGCTGAAGCGAATACCGACAATTATGTCTGGATCCGCCCAGCTGCGAGTGACAGCTGGCTCTGCCTATCTGGATGCAGAGCCAGCTGTACCCGCCCCCTCCCCCATCCGATCCGCCAGTCAGCGCTGGAGGATCGGAGCAGGGAGGGGGGAATCCAGCCCCTCCCGTGACACGGCAGAGAGCTGTGACAGGATCGAGAGGTGAGCGAACGCCGGTATGTGTTCGCTCACCTCCTGATCTACTGAGCCGACCTGGTACAGTCTCATTGTCACAGGTCGGCTAGAACTATGAGGTGAGTGAAAAGCACTCATCTCATAGTTCTCCTTTAATAAAAATGTCCATTGGATGTACTTCCTCAATACACTGACACAATTTCTCTCATCTCTGTAAATATGGACTTTCTTGTGTCAAAACTCACAGAGCCTGCCCTCTCAACTACAACTCAACATCTGAACAATGTAACATTATCATTGATTCTTACAAGCACTGCATGATGGGATATGTAGTCTTGAGAAATCGAGACATCAAGCAGTAAGGAAAGAGATGCAAAGCACACCGAGAATCAAGATGTTAAAAGTGATGAGCAGATGAAAAGCAGCACTCACTATATAAAAGGGATTTTATATTTTTTTTCAAGTAAGCTTTGATTGTATTATGAAAAACAACTCTAGTATGCATTCCTATTACAATGCTGATGTTATTACAGGATAGTATATGATGTGACCTTAGAACTCCTTTAAACAGGTCTAATCAGTTTAATTTAGGACAAATGACTGATAATTGCCACGCCTAACCCATCTTCTGCCATAAACCTTTGCCCCACTGTCCTCTACTGATAAAAGCTTTGATTGACCTTCTTATCATGTGTTGCCTATGTTCAGCACCACACAACCAAATGGCTTGGCTATCTGGATGGGTTTATAAACATTAAGGAACTCTTCCTTGTGCTGCCTCTTCATTTTACAGTAGCAGGTATCATACTCCTTATATTATGCAAGTCTCAAGTTCAAACAAAGCCACCTGCTGTGACATATACCCCCTGAATAAAAAAAAAAAATATTTGAAATCACTGAGCATTGTTGAAGTTTTCTCCGCAGCATCCAGACACAGAAGAGTATTGAGTGATCCAACTTCAAGAAGCTGATTTGCAAGTGTTGGACATTTGAAGCTGTAGATTTTCTCTTGCCGATTACTTGGCAATGGCAGCAGAAAATTAAAAACTTTACGTGATTTCTGCAGAGTGTGAGCTTGCTCTTCAACAATCTGTGATCTCATCTATCACGTTTCATTTAAAGGGGAATTTATAAACTATTATTCCACCTCAGATGTATTAGAATCATAGGTGTAGTGATGTACAGATCATGGTGTAGTGATGTACAGATCATGGCACTGCTTTTCCACTTTTTTTGCCATTAAACCTGAACTCCAGGTAGACATAAAATAAACACTGTTTAATGCAGTTATACATTTATAAAACATCATTAAATATATTTTGAAATGCCATCAAGTGCAAGTACCCAGATCTGTACCTAAATTAGCCACTTGAGGGAAAGAGAGTGTCAATACTCTTAGCCAGTCAGGCTCTGCTGCATGCACATATGAACATACTGAAAGTGAAAGAGGACAAATGACCTGATTGTTCTTTCACTTCCTCATCACAGGCAGGAAGCTGATCAGGCTTTATTACTTAAAGTGACACTAAACGTAGGGGTAAATCTTTAAAATACATTCAAGTCCCCCAACTATTAGAAATGCAGCTTATGTGTGCACCACTGTGTATTAGTCTTATTTTCTAGCGTTCAGCTTTACATATTGATTGTTATCTGAATATGTTTTGCACCAAAAACACTTATTTAATTGAAGAATCGGGAAACATAGAAAAAAGTGACTTATTACAAGACTTTCTGGGAAGCAGTAGGTTAAACATGAACTAGCCCGTCATCGCTTACCTCAGCGGCCATGTTTGTTTGTTCAAATCCAACCATGTTGGCTTGTACCAGCTGTTGCAGAAGTTGTACTTGAGCCACACTTAGGAAGAAGTCCAAGCTTGTGGTAATATTCACTTCCAAGGAATGGCCACACACTAAAATATCCTGAGGTGAAAAGGTAGATCGCATGTCAATTCTGTTTACTCAAGCTCGGGGGACCAAACAAACCTCTGAAATATCCGTGTCTAACATATCTTAAATCAACTGCACCTGAAATACTGACATGTGGGTGCCAAATTCTTCAAACAGAGATTATTTTCATTTGTAATCAATACGAATGTTCTGCTCCTGAGCAAATCTGACATGTCAAAAATGCAGCCATTCACTCATATACCTCGGAGAACCTCTACAAACACCGAGCAAAGCTGCAAGGTTAACATAATACATACACTGATGCAAGCAAGGGCACAAGAACCCTAAAGCATATTAATAAGTAGATTTTGGGGATCACAGCCTGGTTGGTTCCAGGGAACTGTGCCATCATGAAGTACTAGTTACTAAAAATGTATATATTTAGCAGCAAAAAATATTTTTTTCTTAATTTAAATGAGTCCTCACTGGTGTTATTTTTTACACTGAGCTAATCACATTCATACATAATTCTGACAAAAAAAAATGATCAATGCTTCTTTAAAGCAAACCTGTGCTTCGCTCATGCAGGGCAAAGAGACAGGTTTGCTTTAATGGCTCCTTCTCTGGAAGAGCATGCCTTTCCTTTGCTCCCTTTAGCAGCCAGAAGTGAATAAATGAAGCCATGTTTAAGCTCAAACTCACTCTAGTGAGAGTCTATACAGGGCCAAGGAACAGCAAGAGCACTGGGCCAATCGCCAAGCATCAGTACTATCACATGACAGAAAAAGGAATGAATGACATACTCCTCCATACCAGGAGGTACCAGGTATTTTTTTATTAAGTTGTGGCTGGAAGCAGCAGTCCAGAAGCAAATTTTACTCCCTCCTGCATATTATCATTAGTGCACTGATGCTGTAAACATAAGAACCATATAGACAAAATTAATTCTTACCTCAGGGTGCATGTTGTCATGTCCAGACACTTTACTGAAGATTATCGCTGGAGCAGCTGTAACTCTCACTGTGAAATCTGTTAAAATCGGACTCAGTATTGCTCGACGTTCCTGATGCCGCTTTATGCTGATGGAGCAAAGGTAGGCATTGTGAAAAGTGTGTTTGAAATACAAAACTAAAAGAATACACCAATGGTGCTCAGCTGGTGCCCCCAAGTCATTTAAATTGTGCTAACACACCTGATATTCTGGTCAACATGCCATACATGTGATATGACATTATTATACAGGATTTATATAGCGCCAACAGTTTGCGCAGCGCTTTACAATATAAGGAAGACATTACAATCACAATACAATTCAAGACAAGATGGTAAGGAGGACCCTGCCCGTGAGGGCTTACAATCTAATAGGGAGGAGCAAGTGATACATGAGGAGGGAGCTGCGTGGGCATGAATTGTTTAAGAACATGATGGTTGAGTGGTTAGTTTGAGGTGGGATAGGCTTCCCTGAAGAGATGAGTCTTTAGGGATCGCCTAAAGGCAGTCAGAGTGGGAGATAGACTGACAGGTTGGGGTAAAGAGTTCCAGAGGATGTGAGAGACTGTAGAGAAGTCCTGGAGGGGAGCATGGGAGGAGTTGACGAGGAAGCTAGAAAGATGAGTAGTTTTGCAGTTTCATTGGTGAGGAAGGGGCGTATTTTGGAGATGTTACGAAGGTGAAGACGGCAGGATTTGGATAGGGATTGGATGTGGGGCAGAAAGGTGAAGTTTGAGTCCCAGATGACACCTAGCAGCTAAATCTCCTATTTCTTGCTGAAGACTTATATAAGAAAGAAATGCAAGAAGATAATGGAAGGGAGCTGTCCAGGGCTCTGTGTAAGCTGCTGATGACTTGTGTCCTGACTTTGCAGTGATGGGTACAGACAAAGGACAGGAAGCTCAGCTTTTTTATCATCTTTTTAGAGGATATTGTTAATGCTTCTTGTGCTGAATTCCAAAACAGGTATGCCTGGCAAAAAAATCACTACATACTGTACCTGTGTCAGATTTAATGTTTTGAATGCACTGTTTGGTAGCTTAATGTTCAATATCAGAGTTTAGTATAGTACAGCTCTGAATGTCTGCCAGGGAGAAAAAAGTGTTCTGCGTGCATTCTAGAAACTTAAAGTAGAGGTGTACATTATTGCAAAAATCCCCCAGCTCCCTCAATGCAGTCAGCTGTCTCTCCCTCAACACGCCTGTACTCACGACTTCGATGGCTGTGGCCTCCTCTGCTGTCTGCAGCTCAGCCGGTAAAAAAATCTAGTGCTAAGCTGCCTGTGCACTAATATCCTGCAAACTTCATTAACATGTTTCCCCTACAGTACAGTTATGGAACATTCAAGTCTATAAGGCAATAGTGTGTGGGCAGCCTGGCATTATTTTTTTTACCAACTGGGCTACAGACAGTGCTGAAGGCCACGGCCAACATAAGTATGGCCCTATGCTGATTTCTAAAGAGGTGACTAGGAAGGTTTTTGCATAAACATGAACTTGTAACTCTAAGACAATTGTATTGATTAATCTTACCCAGAAAAATGCAAACTGTAAACAACCACAAACATCTTCTGGAAGCTGTACCTTAAAAAATGCATTTCTGGAGCTCACAGTTGGCTTTGTATACACACATTAATATACACACACATCAAGACGGGGGCTGTCAGCACATTAATAGCACCATTGTTGGATCGGAGTATCTGGGGTGCACTTTTAAAAAGGTGGCATCACCAACTGTCTCTAGGTATGGTAAAATAGGCACGGGTTAGACAGGACAGCTTATTTTTAGTGAGCAAGAGGTACACTTTCGGGAAATGTGTTCTGATCACAAAAAGCTTTTATTGAGCTTAGTGACAAGACAGGCCATTGTTACTGCTGCCCTATTCAAAAGAAAACATTACCTTTAGACTGCTGGAAACTGCATGTAAAATCTCAAGTTGCAACTCATGTTGCATGTAGTTAGAACCCTCTTGACCCAATATCCATACCCTTTATGTAAACAAACACAATCCCTGGCTCCCCCCATCCCCCCAGGCAGCCAAACACATGGTGCTGCCCACAAAAAAGCTCCATGCATAAGAGTACTTCGCAAATTCAGACATAACATCTATGTCAATGGCTCCCTGAGCCGGGCACTATGACATAATAAATTACCTAAATACTAAACCTGAATATAACCTAAAATTATACAAACTTAATTGTGTATTTCTATTTTTTGATACAAGTTCCACTATAAGTCTATAGAAGGTATAATTAGTTTAAAGCACATCAACACTTGTGCCAGAAACAGGGTAGTACAGCTTGCATTCTGTGCATTCTGCATGTACCTTGCAGATGTAATATAAAATTATAGACTGTGGCTCACTTTGGAGGGTCAGAAGCTGCATGTGAGGTCTGTAAAGCTATCAGAAGGCCACCACTGAAGATATGCAGAGTATCAGGTTGCTGGATTGTTAAGTATGTGTTTTTAGGGTTGCACAATTATTATACCACAATTATACAAATTACACTGGTAGATGTCAAATATTCCATTGCAGCTGTGACACAAGGGTCAGAAATATAAGAATCGACTCAAAAAAAAAATAACACTAGATAACAAAAAAATACAGCTATAAGACAATGAATGGGTAATGGGTAATGTGTAATTGAGTTTCACACATGGGATAATTGACAGGCCAAACTACTTCCAAAAATATTAGATGCCATTAATAAATAATTGGCTAGTATCAATTTCACAAAGTAAAATTTGTCCAGAGTAACGGTTTCCTTCCTGAGCATGATAAGCACTTTTGCAACCTTTTCTAATAGTTCTTCACTGTAAACATGTACTTTTCTATATTTTGAAAGACAAAGGCCACATGCTGAGCTCATGTGTCTATCTATAACTAGGGTTTAAAATTAGTTTTATCATTAAACATTGGCTAGAAATGTTGTTTTTCCGTTCTAGGGTGTTATTGATATAATCCCCACAATTTCTCCCACAATTCAACAACATGCTAGTTAAATGGCTTCTAAACATTCTGTAAAGAGTGACAATATATGAAAAAAAACTAAATACATCCTCAATTTGCATTTAAGCTAAGTTCAGGTACCCCATTATACAAGCAGGGCTTCAACTAAAGTATGTTTTCAGGCACTTTATCATTGCGTTGACTTGCATTAGAGTTGAAGGTATTGACTTTACATTTACATTCATCTGTATGGGGATAAAAAGGTTCTGATGCACACAATTCCCCACATACTGAAGTCCTTTTCCAATTACAGTATAATAGCAATTTGCTTGCCAGCTACAACTTACCACAGAAAACAATCAGAGAAATCTGTAATTGCTATAAATCTCTGCTACAAAGTTGTTCATGTGATATGGTTCTAAAGATTTCCAAACTTTTTATCTAACCACTGCCACCAACGCTTTCGATTTAGCAGTTTCTTTCCAAGGACGATCAATATTAGTGGGCAATTGTTCCTCCTGCTGACCTTCAATGTAAAGGGGTATTCTTCCTACTGACTGTCAATTTAAGGAGTGCTAAACTCGACATAAAACACTAGTCACCAACTTGCACAAGTTCTTCGATTGGTTGTGGACTTTATATTAATAGTCTTAAAGTTTATACTGATAGTTAATCCAGAGATGATATATGCACTGATCCTGCAGCCCGGTTAGTTGGATAGGGAAACATCCATATACCAGCACTGTGTAGAAAACATAAAAATCCGGCACACAGATCTAAGTGAGGAAAGTGTACCCGTTTAATAAAAGGTAAAAATAAATGCAATTACAGAATATTTAAAAAATCTCGCTTTTCACACATCAAATGGAAGTCCGATTTAGGCTGCAGGTCCAAGATTATTCTCAGAATGGAAGGCATGTGGAAAGAGCAGTGCAGTCCAGAAAGATTCCATATCACCTGTGCTGTGAGGCACAGATCTGATCCGATAGCTGAGCAGTGCTGTAGCTGGTTCTTCTCAAGGCGAGACCACAGCTGCTGGGCACTTCCAGGTCGTAACGTGTCAGACGTTACTAGGCAATGTGTTTCAGAGGTTCACCTAAAGGTGGAGTGGATATTTTAGAGGTTCAAGTCTAAAGGTGGAGTGGTCAAAGTCCAATATATAGGGAACAGGGAATATTGTGTGGTTTAGCGCCAACTAGAGGAGAGAAACCCATAGTGCTATAAAAACTTTTTTATAGCAATATGGGTTTCTTTCCTCTATTTGGCGCTAAACTGCTCCATTTTTTCCCCTTCCCTATCTATTGGACATTGTCCACTCCACCTTTAGGTCTAAGAAAGGAAGTGAACCTCTGAAACGTGTTGACTAGAAACGTCTTTGAACAAAGTTGTCACCAGGACGACAAAAACTCATAAGTCAGTCCAAATCCATTTAATGTCTATGTCTACTCTGAGCCTGATGAAGGGGACCCTGCGTGGCCCCAAAAGCGCTTGTTATTGCGAATGACATCTATCATTAAATGGATTTGCACTGACTTATGAGTTTTTGTCGTGCTGGTGACATCTTTGTTCAAAATTGTTCTGTGTGCGGCGCCGTCCGCTGTCATTTCGAGCACCCATCAACATTTTTGGGATTTCCGGTAAGGAGTGCTACAGGTTCTATGACTTTTGCCGAGAAATGTCTGACACTTCACGACCCGGAAGTACCCAGCAGCTGTGGTCCCGCCTTGATGAGAACCAGCTACAGCACTACTCAACCACCGGATCAGATATGTGTCTCACAGCACAGGTGATATGGAATCTTTCTGGACTGGACTGCTCTCTCCACATGCCTTCCAGTCTGAGAACAATCTTGGACCAGCAGCTTTGATCGGACTTCCATCTGATGTGTGACAAGACAATATTTTTTAAATATCCTGTAAGTGCATTACTTTTTACCTTTATTAAAACAGGTACTTTTATACTGCACTTAGATCTGTGTGCCGGGTTTTTATGTTTTTTTTTGTGCCAATGTAAGAAGGTATTCGTCTTCCCACTAACTGCCAATGTAAAGGCATCATCTTTCTCCTACTTACCAACAATGAAAGGTAGATTCTACAACACCAATTTAAAGGTGGCATTTACAAAAGGCAGTAACACAAT